GACCAGGCTCTCCTGCACACAGCACCAGGCTCTCCTGCACACAGCACCAGGCTCTCCTGCACGCACACAGCACCAGGCTCTCCTGCACACACACAGCACCAGGCTCTCCTGCACACAGCACCAGGCTCTCCTGCACACACACAGCACCAGGCTCTCCTGCACACAGCACCAGGCTCTCCTGCACACAGCACTGTCTTCCCACAGCTCTTCCCGCCCAGGACAAAGCTCGTGTGTGGGAAGGACAAGACAGAGCAGGGAGAAGGAATGCTCTGCCTGCCTGGCAGATGTCCCTGAAATGCAGCACTCCTGCCCGGATGCTGATGCCCACACAAGCTGTTTGCTTCACAAATGGGTGCTTTTCAGCTGCTGTCTCCCACTCCCTTCTCCTGGTTGTCATTGACACAGGAATGCCAGAGCGCCGTCCACACGCCTGGATGTAACTGAGACTTCTGACTTCTTTACTCCCCCTCCAGCAATTTTATTTGGCATTTTGTATGTTCCTTATACTTAACTGTAGTAGGGCCAGTGACCACCTTACTGGACTATTCAGGTTCCTTTCCTTTAATCTTCCCATTCCAATCTTGCTCTTATTCAGCCAAATATCCCATTTTCTTTAGCCAAAAGTCCTGGCAGAGACGAAACAGTCTGTATGCTCCCCTGAGCAAAGGCCACAGCTACCTGGGCAACTCAACAAGTCCCTGCCCACAGTCCTCCTTACCCCCCTCTGCTCCGTTTCCTAAGGAATCAGGGCTATCCAACTGCACTGCCTTTCTGGTCCTTAGTTCCCAACTATGATTTTTAATCTTTTGGCCAACCTAACGAGATCTGACTGAGGAAGAGAGTCTAACACTCTCTGAGGGAAGAGACTACACGTGTGCCATCACTGAAGGAAGAGATCTGCAACCTTCCTTTTGCTGGCTGACCCACAGAATTAGCAGAACCCACTTTTTCCCTCTGTTTTAAGTGTAAGCTACCCCACTGAAGAAACCCTATTTCATTCTCAGCCTGCAAAGGCCATGCAACCACTGAGCACAGACTAGCACAGAAAACACTTCAGGCAAATTAAGAAATGGTTTTACTGTTCTGCAGCCAAGGAAGAACAGGAGAAAATACCTGTCCAGACCTGACGTATAAACTGGCAAAGGTCAGCTGCTGTCAGCAGACTAATGCTGATTGCTACCTGTCGGGGTAGTCCTTTGGCCATCCCCCTGGCCAGTAGTGGGGTACAGCTGGAAAACAACCCCTTCTGACCCTCAACAGAAGAGCATGGAAGCCCAGCAGAACCTCCTACAGACGTACTTGTAAAACCTATGGTGAATTAGCATCACATTGCAACCCAATTATTATAGCAATTTATAAATATATAGTGTTAAAACAACTAAAATTAATTCAGTGAACCCATTTTCTGTTGGATTAAAGTGCAAACCAAGAACAGGAAGAATAAATACATTTTACTTATTTTAAAAATGTAAAAAAAAAACCCCACCCTTCTAAAATGCAATTCTACTCTTGACAATATGCCAAGAGACATACACAGAACTTCGGATTTTCAGCAAATGTAAGCATCCTCCTGCATTTCATTTTCGTGTTCTCCCAGCACATTTGCACAACCCCAGGGAGCAGGCTGTGTTCATCTCCAACCTACAAAGGTCTGGTTTGTCCAGAGCTTATCTGAATCTTGGCAAAATTCAACTTTTCCTTTTGAAAGTATTTCCTCTGAGAAGTTGACTGCAAGCCTCCTTCCAGGGACACAGATACAACTGAGCACAGTATCACTTTGAAAAATCTATCAAATGAGACCTTCAGTCTGCAAACTATCCCTGGTGCCAGGATTTGGCAGACCTCTCAACTCAAATGTTGCATTGTGT